GAGCGCGCCCCTTCCAAAATGGTGCGGACTTCACGCTCAACAACCGCTTTGGTGGAATGTTGATATTCAACAGAAGTCTGGTGCTTGAAACCAAGTTCTTCTATGGCATCCAGCATTTCTGGAGCGTTGTCGGTATACACTATGCCAACAATATCAGAAGTCTTCAGAAAATGTTTAAAAGCTTTCACAATGGAATCGGCTGTTTTGTTTTCTGAAGGATAAACACATCTGTATTGAGTATAAACATCTTTGATCACCAACATTGACGTTTGGCCTTCTATCCCTTCTTCAATATCCTTGGGAATAACATGGTCGCACACTATGTGGTCGCCAAACCCACGCGCCAAAACATGTTGTGATCCGCCTACGCTTCTACCGTAGGGAGCAAGCATTTTAGCTTCGCTACAAACATCGCAGTAGGGATTCTTTGGTCGATGTGTGAATTGATGCGCCCCTGATTTTGCTTCCTTTCGAAGTTGCTCTTCGGTCTTCTCCCCTGCTACGGGAACGTCTTCAAAATCAAAAGGAACGTCAACTTCTGGGTCACTGTCCTCTTCGTCCTCCTGTCCATCATCGGCATTGGCATCTACGCCAGCTTCGTCAGCCTCCTCTTGGTTTTCCTCGAGTTCGGACTCATGGCTGGCCATGGCGTAGCCCTGGTCGATGGTGAACTGGTGGATGGAATCGAGTACCTTAGTAAGGCGAGTCCTCAGTGATTCAGGAACTGAGAATGGGGTACATGTTTCATCAATATATGGAACCCTACCTTGCAATTTGAATTTAACGCATTGTCCATCAGGTCGAAGAAATATGGGAGTAGTGTCCTTTCCCCAAACAAAATCATATCCCTGTTCTAAGCACCTCAAACCAATTGAAAGTGCAGAGGGAGTACTTTGGAGAATGTAGGGGTTGAAGGATTCACATAACCCTGGCAAGATCACCTCCACTACTTCGTCAGCAGTGATAGGTCCATTGGCAGTAGTAAGGGAGATTGGTTCGTTGGATTTGAATATCTTGGTGGCCCTGTTGACTGTCTTAGAGTCCTTACCTACGATGTCCTGGTCAGTGCCAGTGTCACCCAGCCACTTCTCCATACCAACCATGTTTGGCATCGCTGTTAAGCGAGCACATGACGGCACCTGTTCTCCGACGACTGTTCTGCACTTCGTGCAGCACAAATCATCGGGGCCTTCTGGGGAATGTTCACAAAGGAAATCACACGCAGGCTCCTCGGTATCCATCGAAACGAGCATCTGCCTAAGTGACTCCGCTGCCAAAATGGCGTCCTTAGTGTCACACTCGCGGGACTTTGGGCATTCCTCAGTGGTCCGGAACAGGTTCCGCTTCTTGCTCTTATTCACTACATGCCGGTACATTTCCTTCCAAACAGGAAAGGTGTGTACCTCCGGTTCTAATTCAAAACGAATTCTCTTCTCTTGCACAACACGGAAAATTGACTTTCCAGTCCAATCAAATTTCTGTTTCGCGTTTGGGTGTTTCTTCCAATCACCCTTGATTGTCCTACTCTTTCCCTTTGAGTCAGTGACTACCATGGTAAACTGGTCTTCCAACCTAGATGACTCAACTGGACAGGATTTACGTGTTGGGAGAAACGACCTGTGCCTAGGCTTCAAATGGTGCCTAATCAACTCATTGCCATCTTTGGAGAATTCCCAGTAGTCTTTACTCTTTTGGGTCCGAGTTGCGGTTGCTGCTAAGCAAGACATTGCGAAACCTGTTTGAATACATGGACTGGCCTTTGGACTTTTGTCCTTCTTTTCCCGTTTGCTCTTTTTGTCCTTTTTGTCCTTCTTGGATTTCTTGTCCTTAGACCTTTTAGCTGCGGGCGAGGGACTCCTTCTGCGCGGGGCTGGTGTTGCAGTGTCTCCGTGTTTAAACGGGCATTTGTCACCCCTTTTGCAGTTACCCTTTGCAAAGAACCTGCATGGCTTGTCAGATTTCCTCCCTCTACTGGAGCTTCTTGATGAGTTCCTTGAACTGGAGCGGGAAGTGTGTCTTGACGAACTTCGAGATCGGCTTGACCTGAACGATGAACGGCTGCTCGGACTTGCGCTACGCGAACGAGACGACTCCCGACTAAGGGAGCGGGGACGGGCGCTAGAGTCGTGTGAGTACTTGCATTTGCTCCCGTACTTACACTTACCAGTTTTGGCATACTCATAGCATTGATTGCTTCCGTCACCCTTTGTGCTTCGTTTGCCATAACTTGGGCTTCGCGTGCGCTTGTCGTGCGGTGCCGGGTTTGCGAACTTTGCCGCGTGTGATTGTGATATCTTTTCGCGATTGGTCCTGAGCCTTTCCCTGTCAAGGTAACGTCGAACAGAATTGATAAGAAATTCATAGCTTCTGTGGTTACTTCCCTCCGGCGCTCGTTCATAAACATCAAGGTCAAATCTGAGCTTGCGGGACTTCCTAACCTCTCTATAAAACAAATCCTTGAGAGTTGCCGGGTCTGGGACATGACTCATTCCGGTCAGAACACTCTCCCATTTTCTTAGAAAGGATTTCAAGTCGTCGCTATCAAGCGAGATCTTGAGGAGGTCCTCAGTGCCATACAGTGCACCCGCTTCTTCACTGGTCTTGAAGTGGACTTCAAACATGAGCAACACCTGACGACCACGGACGATCCTACCTTGCTGTGCCTCAGATTCCTTATAATTAAGGATCTGCTGAGACAGTTCACCTTTGGCAACCTTAGTTAAAGCAGCAAGTAGTTTCGTGTCTAAGGTCCGAAACTTGCCTGGGTCAGCCAATTCGGAACAAAGCTTGGCTTTGTCTTCACGAACAGCGTACACCTCAAGCACCCATGCGAACGCAGCGTCTGGGTCATCGGACGCGGACCGTATCGCTTCGCGAACAGCGGCCCTCCAAGTGCGGTACCTATCAGGACTTGGGAATTCGGGAAGATCTATCTTATCAGCCTCCTTTGCCTTGGGTTTGTCAGAGTCTTTGCCCTTAGCGCCCTTAAACCCTTCTAGCAAGGCCTTCTTGATGATTTCCCCCAAATCTTGGTCTTGTGGAGTTCTTGCCTGAGAAGCCGGCCCTTCGTCCTTGCGATCATCCTTAGTCTTTGTTGCTTCCTGATTAAAGGAGCTTTTGTACAAAGGATCATCACTGAAGTTATATTGTGCTGACTTCTTCATGTACTCCGTCCACGGATCCGGTTGTTTGAATTGTTGCCTGTCCGTAGAGGCCGTTGCCTGTTCCGCTGCGGGCGCCCCTGTCCCTGAGAACATTGATGGGAATCCAGTGTTGCGCGTGGACGCTGTTGCATCCATAGCCGTCTTTATAGGGGATCCGCCTTCCTCACGGGGCTGACCGTCTAAGGTTGCTGGAACAGTGCCTTCCGTACGTAGAGGTTCAAAAGATCGCGGTTGACCAATTGGGTGAGCGTCTTGCCGAGCAGAAGGTGTAAGTGGCTCAGGATATTGCGGCCCTGGCTTAACGGGGCTAGAGGATTGCGCCGTGCGCTCCGCTTCCTTGCGTTCCTCTTCCCTGTCTGTCAAGGACTGTACAACACGTCTGAGCTCGTCCATTTCACCCTTCAACATTGCATTGTCCTTGCGAAGCTCAACTATAGTTTGCTCTTGCGTTTCCCGATCAACCTTATATTGCTTATTTGTTGTCTCCATCTCATTGACAAGAGTTTTGATCTTTGCCTGTGAAATTGCTAACGAACTGTCCAGTTGTTCTCGCTTGAAGTCAAGCTCTATGGCGATCCGGGATTCTTCAGCAGACGAATGTCTTGCCTGATCCTTTGCCTCTAGAGCTGCCTTCAGCTTAGCCTCCTGTTGCTCAACATACTGGTGATGTTCAGTTCTCATTTTGTCAACAAAAGCATTGCCTTCTTCCGCCATGGCATTCTTTTCCTGTACAACTTTCTCATGAGCTGCTGTCGCCTGAGCTAGCCGCTGCTGAAAATGTTCCCTTTGCTCCTCCAATGTACCTTGCAACCGTTTGATTGCAACATTGTCTTGCTGTTGGACCATTTGCTGAACACTTTGTTCCTGCTGTTGGGCCCTTTGTTGAACATTCAACATTGCCTGCTCTGCGGCAGCCTTTGTTGCCGCTATAGATTCGGAAGCTTCTCTTTCGTAAATACTCCTGAAGCGCAATGCCTCGATTTCAGCTTCCCTCCTGGCTTGTTCGCTGAGCAAAAACTCATGTTGTTGTAACTCCCGTCGTAGTTCTTCGTCGTTTGGCGTTGCATTCAGGTTGACGACGTTGAGCCGAGTCATTGCCAACAAGTTGTTTACTGTTGGCGCACCAGCTACGGTGGCTGACGGCATACCTGCTAGGGTAGCTTGTGTCGCCTCTTGAAGAGTAACACTACCACCACTATTTAGCATCTCTTGGTACACCTCCGAAGCAACCCTTGGATCCATTGCAGCCACTTGTGCAACCGCTTGTTCATGCCGTCGAACTGCATCCAAACTATTGGGCACACTCGGAACTATGTCAAAGCCACTTCCGTAGGAGTTTGGTGGGACGTCGTCATCCATCGGGTCCATAGCTCTAATCTAGCTAGCTTACGGCTGATAACCTGTATTTTACAGGATCAGCTCTAATAGTACTAACTACCTAGCTAACCCTGTTAGTCCGGTAAGCGCTACCTTTTGCTCTACCTTGAGAGTCAACGCTACGGGGTCCATGGGGATGAGGTGAATTTCAACAGGAATGTTCATTGGGATGTTCTTAAAACAAACCACAGTATACAGTAACTTAACTATACAACTATATATAGTTAGTAGAAATAGATTTACCTTGGGCATATCCCATTACCAGTAAGACTGGATGACGATGCTTCGCAAAGGCCTTTCTCAAAAATGGTGATAGTATGTGATAATCGTCTGCTGGTAAAGGAACATGCTCTCTCTATATATATACTGTAGAAAAAGCGCAAGACCCTTAAAGGGCATGAAGTTCATTGAAGTTCTGCACCTGGACCCGTCAAAAGAGCACTTCACGCTTCAAGCAACTGATGGAAATGTTGAAGGTGACCAGGTCCGGCTGCAATCGAATGCCAGGCATTGCCACTAGCATGGCCAAAGAGCCTTGCCAAGATCTGACGTCCACCAACTGGGACATGGCCATATTCCATCGAGCTACCTGCAAAGCATGAGGTGCTCATCTCGTACCAACAAAATGCCTCGCAACTACCCCTGGACAGATTTATATAGAAGACCCTTCTCGCCCAAGGTCAAAGGCCGCCAGTCATGCACGGCCAACTGCAAGTAGACGAATGATAAACAATTATAAATACAGTAATTGTAAATATAATATACAAGAAGAAGCCCCTCTGTCCAACCCTCTCCACTCTCCGCTCCTTGCGACAAGTGCTCTTCACAATCCGCGGCGCACTCAGCAGCGCCAACGCCATGGAGGCCGAGGCCGTCGACCATGCCCCACAGCCGACCCATCAAATCTCAAACCGCCACCCTTGGCCCGGCGCGCTGACGCGTTCGCGTCCGCGTTCGGAGCGCTGAGGCAGAAAGGCGCGTGCTTGGGCAGGCGGCTGCGGACGCCCGGGTGCGAGGCGCGGTTAGGACGTGGATTGAACTTCAAGGATTCACCAAGTTGCTGCTGGGAACAGAACATGTTGCCCACCCTAAATATAGACCCAAGTTCGGATACATGTTATAGATATCATGGAACGGTAATGCCAAAGCCAATGAAGCTGCACGTTCCCATCCTTGTTCTTCGGTCCACCCGATGCGACTGGTGTTGGTCCATCTCTGGGTGTCCAACGTCCCCACTTCACGGCCAACACCCTGCAAAAAGCCGTCTTCCATGAGCGCCTGCGCTGGAAAGCTTCAAAGGCGTCGTTCGCCAAGGCGCCGGTTTGACTCCAGGATATGAGATGCGAAGCGGCCGCCCAAAGCGGCACACACAGTTTGTTCAGTCTTCTCCACATTCCCCTTCAAACAGACGGGTCGTTTTTCGGCAATAGGGGACGCAAACCTTCATGTGCTTTCTGGACAGGTGCTCCAAGGTAAACTTCGAACCCTCAAGGAACAGAAGGAACCAGAAACTCGGCTCTTGGAACCCCACTTGTGACCATATCTTACCTAATGATACTATGATGTTGCCCCCAAGGCCAAACTCCTTTTACTGGGCATTGGCCACCCGTCAGAGTTTCAGCATCCAAGTGTTCCAAACTGCCGCCTTCTTCTGGCCCTTCTCTTGAAAAACGCCTCCAGCTTCGGAAACGCGACACGCGGGTTTCGAAGAGGATCGATCGTGGGTGTTGCTCCATTCAAGTTGCCCTGCCCACCGCAGACCCAAAAAGCTCGCGTGATTTCACAGCCCGATATGAGTAAACAGAATACAGTATTACACTAGCCATGGTGTGTGTGTGTGTATCTCTTTTTCTTCCTGCATTGTCTAGCTTCTTTCACTGCGTTTCAACATCTGTGAGGTCTTCAATCTGCTTCACGGTCTTTTTCTGCATGGCCTGATTGCAACCCGTGCAGGAGGAGTTGACGGAACTTGGCTTCTTTGGCCGAGAGCGCAGCTCCTGGGATCGAAGGCTGCAACTGATGTTTTCCACATAGTTCCCCAAACCAATTGGCCTCTGAAGGGTTCTTAATGTTCTTAGTGTTGCTCCTTTGAACATGCAAAAAGAAGTCGCGGGAGGTTTCTCTGCTTTGTGTCTTGTCTCCAGTTGTCGATGGTTCTGGCTTGCTTGCTTGGGTGCCTTTTTGGCGGAGTCTCCCGTTGTCTCGGCTGTGGTGCTTGGATTGCTTGGGTCGTTGGGTGCCTCCAGCTGCCGAAGGGGCTGTGGGTGTGCTTTCTGGCTGTCTCTTCGATCATCTCGGTGACTAACCTTCAAATGGCTTCACAAAGAAAGCATTGTCCATGTCCATGTTCCAGGCTGCGCAGCTGTTCCAAGGCCGATTTTCTTCTGCGGTGTCTTTTTTCTTGACAAGTCCAGGGTTGGATTTTCCCGGAAACCTTGTGGGTTGTCTTGACCTGCAGATCTTACAGTGTGTTTGCCCGTGGAACATGCTGAAAGCCCTTTGTCCCGTTTTAGGTGTTTTAGGTTGTGCTTTTCCTTTGTTCCCTCCCTCCTCGACACTCAAAGGAATGAAGTTGCCTACGCTGGACCCCACCCGTCAGGTCTGGACAGTCTGGACTCTGTCAACATCTGTCACCTTTCAGCCTGAACGTCCCATCTGTCCTGCCGCTTCAGCCAGACCATTCTGGAGGATCTTGGCAAAGCCTTGAACCCTCACATTTTGTGCACAGGGCTTCCTCGGTCGTGTCAGAACAAGCCACCCCGAACCCCATGTGCCGGAAAGGCAAGGCTTCGAATGGTGAAACTTTTGACCGAAGAGAGGTCGTTGAAGGATGACTCATGATAATACCTTGAATCCCCAGTCGACTAATGCGGCGGGGATGCATTTGGATCTACAGTAATTTCATTCTATGGGTTGGCAATATGTTACTCTATTTTATTTCCTCTTAATTGGTAACCTTCACTACGAGTAGGGGCCCGTCGTGCCTCATCGATCTACTAAGGGGTCACAATGATCCACACTAATAACAGCACCCCATTGGGGCACATCGATGACAACAAACCATGCGCCCGCAATGCCCAGCTGAGCTCCGGCACCCATCCTCCTGGGTGGTCATTTCGTAAGAAACCAAAGCCTCAAAGGCGGTAGGTTTTATATTTGCAGGTCGCATTGATTCTGGGTTTGGAGCGGACTAGGAGGAGGATCACCTCTAGGTGAGATTCTGAGATGAATGAATGTGGACATGTTCACAGGCCTAGGCGTGAGGCTTTGGCATCTCCGCAGCTTGCCGCGCTCTAAGCCTCCTACCCCAGGTGCGAGGGCCGCATAGTTGTCACCTTCAGTGCCTCGCAGCCAGATTGATGGTCTTCGCATTTCATGACCCGCCTGAAACTAGTACACCCGGGAAGATCAACATGGAACCTGAAAATGGAACTCTAGAAGACTTTTTTCCTTTACAACCCAGTGGTTTTCAGGTTCCATGTTAATTTAGTAGCGATTTCCAGGAGCCCCTAGTAGCTTCTTATTTCTAGTAGTAAGGCCAGGAGCCCCTAGTAGGTGCTGCCTGCTTTAGCCAACTAGTCCGGTTGCTAGGGCGCACACCATCCTCAATGTGGTTCTTATGCACAAAGATCTCCTGGCAGTGCACCCTTGGGAGTAGCATCAAGTGTCAAGGCAACCTGTCCACGCACCATGAAGAAACAAGCCAGTCATAATCCAATCGAACAGCTTTGTCTGGGCACAGCTTGTTCACAAAATTCCGATTTGAGTCTTGACTCTACCAGTCTGGCTAGCAAACACTCCTTTTCCCCCCTAGGTTTCACCCTCTTCATCAAGTCCCCTACCTCACACCCTCTGCGACGATTCCCTGTTAGCCACCTCCTCTGGGGACGTGCTTTTGGCATCCAACGGCCTTGCGAAACGTTTCGACTCCGCGCCGCACTCTCGCGCCGCACTCTCGTGCCGATTGAGCTGTGTCGGACGGAGCCACTGAGCTGGCAGACAGGATCTTCCCAAAGCCCTTGTCTTTGTCAAACCACCTGAAGGTTGGCGGAAGAAGCGGATGTGAAACGACGCACCTTTCGGCCATCGCACGAAAGAAAAACAGGGCAGATCAGAACATGCACAAAAAGTGTTGCTTTCGAGTTACATATATGATCATACATCATAATGTCTAATATGTTCAATCCACTGGCTTTACGTGACTTTAGGTCAATTCCCCAAATGAGTCCGGGTGGTTTCGTCCATGCCTGATTCTTCCCTCCAAACGCTTTTTGGACTTGAACTGCAAGTTCAGCACCGCCCTCAGATCACACAAACACGGTGTTTAAACATCTCCGATCCAAGTCGAATGCTTAATTGTTACTAGTATCTTCTAGCTACTGGTAGTAGCTTCTTGCTACTAGTAGCGATGCCCTTTGTTCCTAGATGCTCAGGCATGGCTTACATGGCGTTATTGAGAAGAAATCCTGCACCAGTCATCAGCTGACTCCTACAATCAAGCGTTTTTCTGTATGCCAAGTGATGCAGGACGCAACAGTGGGAAGACCAATATGATCGACAACTTTGTGAAAGAAGTGCTGCTACTAACTGCGAACCTATTCTTTCTGGGATGAATTCCCTAGTAAATGTCTTCCCCTAATCTTCTAGGCTTCAGTGCCAAGGCCCCAGCTTCAAGTCAGGTGCCCGAACGGTTCGAGCAGGCCTGAGCAGCAGGCCCCTGCACCACTCGCCCGTTGGTTGAGCGGATTCCCAACCCTTTCGAGCCCAGAATCATCAATGACACCAGCAAGCAATGTCCGAGAGGCCTATTCATTGGAAAAGCTATCTGGGCCAAGATCCTTTTCTTAAAGAAACTGGCTCCACTCAGCGGCTGAGCAACAGGCTTGGGTGCAGGTGCAGCCTGATGAGCAAGGAACAACGAGGATGACGCCGACTTGTTGTTTTTGATGCTGCGTATAGATCCAAGTTGACCCAACCCACCCCACGTGGGGATCCAGCCATTCTATGATCTGCACATGGCGGTTCCGCACGGGGTTACATCCGCGGCGCGTGCTACGTGCCCATGCCCTGTCCGCAGGAGGCCCCGTGTGAAGAACTAACCATCGTCTTCACACCATGACGTGGTGTAAGCCGTCATCTGCAAATCCTAGGCCTAGGCCTATACATGCAGACTACACATGCAAGAGTTGGGTGCTTATGGGCAAACATGGCCACATGACATGACTATTTACTGCGGAGCTTGTGTCCATTGCTGGGCCAATGCAAACGGATGGCCGTGTCGGATCTCAAGGCTGCCGAACAACCACTGGGACCATCCAACTAACTAGTAGGTTTCTGACGCATGTTCCATGTGGCAGTCTGTTGCAGTTCTCCCCTGATCGCATGATAGCAGGAGTCTGGACACATGACCCCTGCAAGAACAGGCTGTCAGCGTTGAGGTTTCTCTGGTGTTGAGGCACAACCACTGCCCACTGCTGAGTCAAACATGTCGGCTTGGCATATGCCTTTTCAAAGGCCGTCGGTACCTCGAAAGACACTTCTTCATACCACCAAGCTCCCCCTCAGAAGCTCTAATTGAGTTATCATGAAATCAAACGGGAGGCTTCTTCTCAACCCCCCACAGGCCATAGGTCTCAGATTCTTTCCAGCTCTTTTCGTGTCTCTTTGCGTCTCCGCTTTGGACGACACCCTCAGCTCCACACCCTGGCCCTGGAGGGGCCTGGCTTCCGCTCAAGCGCGCCGCTGGACATTCGCGCCATCGATCGGTGGACATGAACGCGCCTGTTCTTTTGGAAGAGTCTCCTTCTGCGGTTTCTTGTCGTTGTCTACCATCCATCTGGAATCTCTTCGCGACAATTCACTCATTGGGAGGCAAGGAATGGCGGTGAAGGAAGGGCAGCCTCATGCCAGCTCGCCCACGAAGCAGAGCAGCAGAACTCGGCAGAACTCCAAACAACATCTGTAAGGAAGCGAATCCAGTGGGCATGGGCCTTGAACATCTTCCAAAGGTTCTGCTGATTTCTCACGTTCAGCTCGTTGATGCTCCCAGCACCATGGTGCCAAGGAAAATCTACAGTAAATCCAAGTTTTTGGGCTATGGTTTCCTGTCGGTTTTCCCTTCCAATCCAAATGAGGCTGGCCATCTTAGCGCAAGAGGCGGGTTCCCTTTCATGGCCTGTCCAA